TTATTTATTTATTTTGTTGTACTCTTTGATTCAAGAAAATAAATAAACAGAATTATTCAGCTTTCATGGTATTAGAGCCATGATTAAATTTGGCTTTGGTCTGGATGCCGATGGCCAAGGTTCAAAAAGCTCATTGACTAACCCTTCCAGCTTGATAATAGCAACCTCAAACCCTAGCGATCAAGCATTATCTGACACCAATCCAGTCTCTATCACCATCCATTGACTAAATGGGCAAGCAGTGCCAGGTTGTACGTGATAGGAAAAGGAAAATTTGACTATCCAACTGGTTCACAAAAGAAACCAGAAGCTATAGACTAAGCTTGCTGTATAGGAAGCCGAGAACTCTATGGTGCACGCACAGTTAATAAACTCCATGACCACTAAAAACAAGTGTCACTTCTCTTTCTTCCACATGGCTCATAAAGTACAGGAAGCGGCTAGGGACATGTTAAATCCCTAAAGAACAAATCTGCAATTTTAGAAATTGAAAGCTTCCTCCATGACTTTAAAAAAAGTAACATTTCAGTCACTTAATATTATACTAACTTGTTTGCTAAATAGCAGCAGTTAGATATATATGATACTCATGAGTGGAAGTTTCCTAGAGATGCAACTCTATATGAAAGATCAAAGAAGAAAAAAAATCTTTAAATTCCTGCTTGGTTTAGATGCTGCATATGATAATGTGAGATGCAGGCTCATGAATCTACACACTCTACCCATTTTGCGTGAAGTATTCTTCGTAGTAAGAAGTGAAGAAACTTGAAGAAAGCTCACCTCCAATGACTCTCCAACCGTGGCAGACCAATAAATTCACAAATTGCTCTTGAAAGAGACCTCTAGAGAGGATGAAAAACCAAAACAGGGCAAATAGTGTGACTATTGTCGAAAGAGAGGTCATAAAAGGGAGGTATGCTGGAAATTACATAGGAAACTAGCCAAGAAATCACGATAGAATAGCAGAGGATATGCCAGAACTATTGACAACACTTCTGAAAAGGAATCAGATCTGAACAAAGAAGTAGAGCTTATAAAAAACTTCTGGACAGGCATCAATTAAAAGAAAAATCAGTATCTTCAGGATATATTGCTCATACAAGTAAAACAATCCTAGCCTTAAAAACTGATGTGCACCACCAAGATTTATTGATTGTTGATTCCGGTGCCACTAACTACATGACTGGTAATCCTGATTTACTTATGGATATCAAACCTTGCACATTAAATATTTCTACTCACGTAGCTGATAGAAAAACAGTGAAGGTTATGGGCTTCAGGACTGCTCGAGAAAATGAAAAATTGGTCCTCTATGATGTTTTTTATGCCCCAAAATTAAAATAGAGCTTACTTTCTGTTAGAATTACTACAAACACTCAAAGTTGTAATGTCTATTTTTCTGCCACTACATGTGCTTTTCAGGATCTGGAGTTGAGGGAGATGATTAGCATAGCTAAGATTCTAGAGGGGCTCTATTGCTTGGAAACCAGCAGCTCATAGATGCAATGTTATTCAAGTGTGAAGACTTTCTCTGTTTTTACCAATTCCTCAAATAAAGGCTTGTTATGGCACTATACGTTAGGCCATCCTAATTTTCAGTACAGGTTGAAACTTTTTCCTTAATTCAATTAAAGCACTTTATCCTATGAAATTTGCCAATTAGCAAAGCACACCAGATCCCCTTATAAAGCCCAACCTCACAAATCTTCTGAACCTTTATTCTCATCCATAGTGATATTTGACGACCTACACATGTTAAATTCATTAACAAATGCCAAATGGTTTGTGACTTTTATTGATAACCGTACACGAGTAACATGGGTATATTTCATGAAAGAAAGATCTGACCTAGTGCCTACCTCTATCAATTTTCACAAATGATCACGACCTAATTTCAAACAAACATGTGCACACTAAGGAGTCACAATGAGAGAGTATATGGCCACCACTCTACAAAACTACCTTAAAAGCTATGGAATTCGCCACCACACTAGCTGCATTAACACCCCACAACAAAATGGTACAACTGAACGCAAAAATAGACACTTACTTGAAGTAACCCGTGCCTTGATACTTGCTCACAATGTTCCCAATTCGTATTGGGGTGAGACAGTCCTCACAACCACTCATCTCATCAACAGAATGCCCTCCAAAACACTCAACTTTCAAACTTCCATGAGTCTCCGTACCAAAACCTATCCTCACACTACCATTGCCACTCAAATGCCCTTAAAAAATTTTTGTTGTGTAGCTTATGTTCACCATTCAGCTAGGAGCAAATTTGATCCTCGAGCCATCAAATGTATTTTTCTTAGGTATTCTATCTCCTAGAAAGGCTATAAGTGCTATTCCTCTACCCTATGCAAATTCTTTGTAACCATGGATGTTACCTTTGAGGAGCACCAAGCCTAGTATCCAAAACCACCCATTCAGGGGAAGAGTGAGAGGGAATAAGTGTCTTAGCCCACCCGACTCATCACAAATTATCCCTGAAAATAATTTTGCACCTTTGAACACCCATGAAAATAACTCCCAACCTTGAAACCACTCAAATCCTACCTGAAACAGAACCTACTACACCTGATATTGCACCAAATAGACCTGAAGCAAGTCCTACCAGACCTATAACACAATCCTAGAATCATCCCAGGCCTGAACCGAGTCCTACTACCCCAAAAAGCAATAATGAACTTGAGGAATCTGGTGAATCAAAGGAAGAAGAGGATGAGGAGCATGAGACAAACCAAAATCCAAGTAATAGAGATCCCTCTAGCTCAAGGCAACACCAGGAATCAAACTCAAATCTAGAACTTGCTGATCTTGAATGGCCTATTGATCTAAGAAAAGGGGTAAGGCAGTGTACTCTTCATCCTATCAGCAATTTTATATCTTATGATAAGCTCTTCTAATGTATGAAAAGTTGTCACTGAGACGAATGAAGAAAAAATCCCTTCAACATTCAAAGAGGCAGTGCAAGATCCTAGGTGGCATGAAGTGATCAATAAAAAGCTAAATGCATTGAATAAAAATCAGACATGGAATGTTGAAAAATTACCTCAAGGTAAGAAGGCAGTGAGGTGCAAATGGGTGTTTACCATTAAATATAATGCTGATAGAATAGTAAGTAAATTCAAAGCTCGCTTAGTGGCCAAAAGATATTCACAAACACAAGGAATTGATTATCAAGAGACCTTTTCCCATGTAGCTAAGTTGAATACGATGGATTTTATTATCCTCGGCAACAAATCTTGAATGACCGCTACATCAATTAGATGTGAAGAATGCTTTTCTAAATGGAGATCTTAAAAAAGAAGTATATATGAAGGTTCCTGAAGGAATTGCAGAATTTAGAGACCGAAGTATGACATGTAAGCTGCACAAATCCCTCTATAGGTTATAACAATCACCCAGAGCATCATGGTTTGGACGATTCACCAAAGTTGTGAGAAACTCAGGCTATACTCAATGCCAAACTAAACACACTCTCTTTGTAAAACACTCCGGGTCAATGGGGACTTCTTGTTATTTGCTCAGATTCGCAGCATGATGCTAAAGGAGTGGCAAGTGAAGATCACACATATCTATCGAGAAGGGAACCGGTGTGCAGATCGCTTGGCTTCACTGAGTCTGGATCTGCCTGAATGGTGGAAGAGCTGGACATCCCCACCCAGTATTTTGGAGAATATTCTAAGAGAGGAAGCTTTTGTAGATATGGCTTCCGAACGCTGACGCGTTCTGTTCGTTTTCTTTTGTGTTCCCTTGTTCTTATCTCTTTATTTTAGTCTTTGGGCTTCGCCCCTTTATTCACTAAAAAAAAAAAAAACACTCCGGGTCCAAAGTTTCCATTCTAATAGTATACGTTGATGATATAGTGATAACAAGGGATTATTTAGAGGAAATCAAGCAACCAAAGAAAGCTTTGGCAATCGCATTTGAAGTAAAGGATCTTAGGAGCCTTGGATAATTTCTGGGAATGGAAGTGGCTTCGGTTAAAGGCAGGAATTTCTGTGCCTCAACGAAAATACACTCTTGACTTACTTAAGGAAACAGGCATGCTAGGAGCATGCCATCCTCAATTCCTATGGATCCGTCTACCAGTCTAGAATACAAGAAGGATCAGGTACCATGGATGCTGAAAGGTATAAAAGATTGGTAGGAAAGTTAATTTACTTGTCTCATACCCGACCACACATAAGTTGTGCTATAGGTGTGGTAAGCCAATTTTCATCTCAACCACAAAAACAACATATGGAAGCCATATATACCATTTTAAGATATCTAAAAATGACTCCTAGAAGAGGAATTTTCTTCAGTAAGGGAACCTCTCGAGACATTGTGGTTTATACAGATGCGGATCATGGAAAGGACAAAGTGAATCGAAGGTCTACTGGACGATACTTCACCTTTGCGTGGGGTAATTTGGTTACTTCGAGAAGCAAGAAACAAATAGTAGTATCAAGAAGCAGTGTTGAAGCAGAGCTAAGGGCTCTTGCTGATGGAGTTTGTGAGGGAATTCGGCTAACCCAAGTCTTAGGAGAATTGAAAATGGACACTAATCTACCTCTCAAACTCTGGTGTAACAACAAATCACCTCTACAAATGGTTCACAACACAGTCCATCATGATAGGACCAAGCATGTAGACTTGACCGCCACGAATCATAACTATTGCGACTCAATTTTCATACTCAATGCAACAAATGGGACCTACACTGCTTTTTTCTCCCCCCTTAATTAATGACCTATACTAGTTTGGAATAAACTTCATTAAGCAATAGATAAATTGAACCTATCAATCTTTCGAGGAAGTAACTTGACCTGATGATTGTGTGCGGGCAAACAGTTTTGAGCATGGTCAAGTAAACTTCTGGCAAACTTTAGAGGATTCTAATTCAACGTATTCAAGAAAAATGTACTCAGTACAAGGGTTTGAACCACTTAATAGTAGAGTGAAAATGGGCATAATACCCCATGGTAGAAAGCTTTCAGACAAGAGGTAAGTACCTGACACATCATCTTCAGTAGGATAGAAATTAATATTCCAAAGTTAAAAGAGCAATCCTTTAGAACCCAATTCTTCAATTAACAATTCATTCTTGAACAGATTCACATTATTTTCCACGAGCACGCCCTTCACTCCAATAATAAGGAGGAAAGGAAAAAGACATAACCTAGTTCCAGAAACTTCTAGAAGACAAGGTGGGTGGAAGCATGCATTGGAGTTAAATTATACATGAAACAAAAACACAAAAAAAAGAAAGACATCATCTAACTAGCCATGGGATGATTAGAGATATACTCAATAGCAAGATGACACGAGTCAATCTTATCAGCTTCCTTGTCTGGGATCTCCAGTTTGAACTCCTCTTCTAGAGCCATCACAATTTCCACACTGTCCAAGCTATCTAAACCCAAATCTTTCTGAAAATGTGCATCTGGAGTCACCTGAGGTTCAAGGAAAAACTGGTAAGTTCCATAATACATTTCCTTTCTTTCATGATTACAATGCACAAGAAACATGACCAAAAGGAAAAATGGGGGACGTAAGCGAACAATCACATCCCATGATTGAAAGTTCTATAACAAAAGAAAAGCAAGCTAGCCTTGGCAGTCTTCACTTTACTTTGGGTTCTAGAGAAACATTCAAATCGTTTAGATAAAAATAATTTATCAAAGAGAAAAGATAACATATCAATTACAATCCTCCCACAAGTAAAAAAATCTAGACAAACATTGGCTCAAAAGGGCTTCCAGGTCCCTGTAGGGGTCCATGGGGAAGCACTCCAACAAAAAATAGTTTGGAGGCCACAGAAAATCATTCTTTCCAGAAGACCACTTGGCCAGAATTCCAGTTTCAGTTACGACCTTAGACACCATATGCTTCCAAACGCAACACTCACAAAACCTTGGAACTTAGTAGCTTATAAAAGGTCTCAATTCACCGGCTACACCCACTTTACTCAAGAGATCATTTCTTAACCATTCATATAAACTACATGCAACTAGTCACCAAAATGAAAATTCATGAGAACATCACAAAGCTATCAGATATTAAAGTGCAGTTATTTAGACTTTCAGCTTTAACTCCTTACAATCCAAAAGCCAAGTTCAGGAGTCACAAAAGCAAGGTCTTTGGTAACCTTCATGATCAGAAAATAATATGAAAATGATTTCACAAATCAGTCAAATAAAAATACATTGCAAGTCTTCTCTCTCTATGTAAAAGTGCAGAACAAAAGATGGTTTTTTTCTGCAGCGTCATTTGCAATGCTGTGGCTTTTACACTCAATTCCTTTCTAAAGTACAAGGTTAAATTGATATATGGTAATTTTTCTAAGGTTGGTTTGGGGTTGTGCTGTGTTATGGTTTGTATTACAAGGAAACATTTGTACTTTCAATATTTAAACTTGTCATATAATATTTGGCAATATGATAACTTTTGTAGTTTCACCAATGTTTTAAAAACTAAACCGGACACTGAACAAGAAATATCATTGGGTCACGAGTTTAATAGTCCAACCAGTTTAATTGGTGATAGAACCAATGATGTGATAATTAAATTCAAAATATAATATTACATATCATAATATATAGATAAGAAATAAAATATCAAATTAGAATTTAACATAAAAGTAAACTTAACCAGTCCAATTTCAAAGCAAGTTAATAAACTCAAATGGTAATAAAAAAGACAACTCCAAAGCAGTGAAAATATACCCCAAATTCATATAATAAGGGTATATTTTTGGTAAGAAAAATTGAGTCCATGTTTCAAAAGCAGATCCAATTTCCAGCTTAATAGCTAGTTAAAAATAATTCAAAGCAGTCCGACCACAAAAAAGGGGTCTAAGCATGAAACCAGGCCATTTATATTATTAGATAAGGGGATGGTTGAACCAGACCATCTGGTCCAATCCGATTCTTAGACCATTCAGTTTCACAACGATCCTCTCAATTTATTAATCATGTACAACTATTTTAGACAAAAATTAATCTTATACAATGCACAACAGCTTTTATTATATGTTTTGTGAATGACAATTTTCAATGTTAACACACATCATCCTTTTCACATCTTCTAAAGAAATGGAGCCACATTATCACTAAAAGCATTTGCCCTAATGAATAAAATGCCATAATATACACATCAGCTAATATTTATGTCCAGGGTCATGCACAGAATATTTCCAATAGCCATACTTTATCAGCCTTCTCTCTAGGTTGACAGAGATACGAAAAAGAAAAGGGGACTGAGAGACCTCCCTGAGCACTGTAAGAAAGTTTGTATAGGAAAAGAACGAGATATATGGTGTTATTTTGAAAGCTCAGGATGTATGAGAAACAGCAGTTATTTCATTGTTATTCATGTCCACAGAACCACAAATAAGTTATTATTTATATTGCATGTAAATCATTCATTAACGTGAGAAAGAAATGCCTTGAAAACAGAGAAAACTTTTGAAGTGAAATATTAGAAATCCCCTTCAGAGTACGAAAACAGCAAAGAAACAACAAAAAACTGAAGGAAAGCATCAGCACAGGAGAGCTGTATCAAAGAAAGAAAAATTGTTCAGACACAGCGAGACTTGGTAATGTAGTAGATTCCCCCCCCCCCCCACAAAAAATTAAAAAAACAATATGTTATGGAATAGCCAAACAAAAACAAGCTGATGAGAAGAGCTTAAAAAGGCTTCAATTTTCACAAAAAAGTGTCGAACAAAAATTTGAGCATGATGCCATATGACATGACCAGGTCTCCAATTAAAACCCCCAAAGGCAGCAAAGTTCAAATGTTCTAACATGCCCCACAAGCATACAACCGATGTGTTAGTCCACTGCTCCCAGAAATGATGGTTAGCTCCAGTCACACAGGTATGACTAAGCAAAAGTTCCCAAATTTACAAAGGGATGTGGAACATAACCCTAAGACGGCGCAACAACCAAAACATTTTTCATGACAGAAATATTTAAGAATTGATTCATCTATATACCTAAAAGTATTATAGAGAGACAAGCACATTGAACTGGCTCAGCTTCAGCGGAAAGTCAGACTAAGAAATGCAGCACCTGAACCAAAATATTTATCAACATAAGCAGTGGACACATTTCACCAAACCTTAAGAAAATGCAGTCCAAAATTTACCCCTATTTACCTTATTTAGTTGAACTGCATTATTCCCTTGTCACATCTAATCTCAGATTTGAGAAAGTGATCACAATTCAACCGATTTCCAGCAAAACAATATTTACCCAACGCGCACATTCAATTCAGATCTTCTATAAAACCTTTCACTTTATTTCACCCCGATTCAGACCCCACCCGTACGGCATCAACCCATAAAAATCAATCGACAGATTTAAGATTTTAACTTCACATTTCTCCTTTCTCACGTTAATATAAAGCCTATAACAATAATAGTCACAGTGAAGCTAGTGAAGGGAGGAGAGTGAGACCTTAGAAGGATCGAGCTTGGGGAAATCTTTGAGAACAGAGAGGACTCTCTCGGTGACCTCTTCTTTGGAGATATGATCATCGTGCGAAGACATGGACCGGAAGAAACCGTTCCAAAACTGCAATCTTGGAGCGGCAAGAGGAAGGGTATGCACCGGCAATTTGACATGGCGAAGTATCGCTGCTCTGAGCGCCATTTGTGTCCGAAAATATTTGCGGCTGCGTAAGGACTGAGGGCTGGTTCGACAGCGTCAGCCTTCAATGTGCGAGCGGGTTATAATCGGAGGAAGGGCACGGAGAGAAATCCAAGAAGGTCACGAGCTGCTCACATGCCTTCAAAAACAGTTTTTTTATTGCCAACGCACGTCTTTAAAAACAATACGGAAAATGACATTTAAATGCCTGAAAATTATGAAATTGTTATTCATCTTAACTCAAATTAGAATTATGAAATTCAAAAAAAAAATATTAGAATATCCTCATTTGTCAAAAAAGGAAAATAACCCTCAACGAAGGCTCCCCAGGAGGATTTTTTTTTTTTTAAGTGGGGTTAATGAGATTTGATCCCCAACTTGATGTATCCTCAAATTAAAGATGACTATCAAGCCAACAAGCTTTGATAATATTGTAAGGGAAAATGACAAATAAAGACCCTTGAATTAGCAAAATCACAAGGAGGTCACCTGAATAAGCTAAATTACCAAGAAGGACCTGGTCTCAAATTGTAATTATGAAATCAGGCTAAAAAGACAAAAATACCCTTCTTCTCTTTCTTCCATCACCCCATCTCTTTTTCTTTCCCTCTTCTCTTTCTCTTCGTCTCCGTCCTTCTCTCCCTCTTCATCTCCCTCTCTCTCTTCTTCCTTCTGTTCCTCTCTCTCTCAAAAATATTCATCTCCCGCCTATGCATTTATCAATATGATTAAGGTTGTGGCCATTCCCATCAATCTCTATTACAAAAAAGATGGTGACCCATCGTTAATGCTAGTTGACAGAGGTAATCAGATTGAAGTTGATAACAATAGTGTTCTGGAGATGGTATACAGAATCAATGTTGGAGAGGATGAGATTCAAGCTACCTAAGACACTACATGTGTATATACTTCATGATTGGCACGGCATCATCTTGGTGGGTTGCGGTGTGGTCACTGGGTTATACGGTGGAAGAGAATGAAACGTGAAGTTAATGATGGAAAATGTTAGTTGGAGGATGTTGTAGTTAGTTTGAGATACACTTGTCACCGAATCTTGCAGAAACTGGTTGCTGTCAAAACACCTCTGGTTTTTTGTTATTTGACTAACTATTGTTGTAATTTTACTTAGTAGTGTTGTAACTACAGATTGGTTAGTTTGATCACAGCAACATGATATGACAATCTGAAAATGTTAGTATTTTGTTTATAGGCAGAGCAATGTTAACATTTAGTATTTATAGTTGTTAATGGTATCAATGTAGATCCATTTAATATTCTGAATTCATGACAAATCTCCTCACAGACTTATAATTTCACTTATCACAGTTGTTATTTGGCTTTCCACTCTTGTCAATTGATTTTCATAACTTGTCATTCGCCTTACTCAACTTGTCATAAATTACTTATCAGAACTTGTGATCTGCTAAAGAAATCTGAAATTTCTGTCATTTGAAAAGAGAAAATTAAATTTTTATGAATTGCTTATCAGAAGTTGTCATTCGCCTTACTAAACTTGTCATTCGTCTTACTCAACTTGTCATTGAATGGATCTACATTGATATCATTTACAACTATAAATACTAAATGTTAACATTGCTCTGCCATAAACAAAATACCAACATTTTTATATTGTCATGCCATGCCGCTGTGATTAAACTAACCAATCTGTAATTACAACACTATTAAGTAAAATTACAACAATAGTTAGTCAAATAACAAAAAACCAGAGGTGTTTTGACAGCAACCAGTTTCTGAATCTTGTAGAAACTAGTGTATGACAACTTCTGATAAGCAACTCATAGGAATTTAAGATTCTGGATTACAATGACAATTTGCACAATTCCTTGGCAAATGACAATTTTAGTTTTATTTAGCAGATGTGATTAAACTAACCAATCTGTAATTACAACACTACTAAGTAAAATTACAACAATAGTTAGTCAAATAACAAAAAACCAAAGGTGTTTTGACAGCAACCAGTTTCTGAATCTTGTAGAAACTGGTGTATGACAACTTCTGATAAGCAACTCATAGGAATTTAAGATTCTAGATTACAATGACAATTTGCACAATTCCTTGGCAAATGACAATTTTAGTTTTATTTAGCAGATGACAAGTTTTGATAAACAATTTATAACAAGTTGAGTAAGACTAATGACAAGTTTAGTAAGGCGAATGACAACTTCTGATAAGCAATTCATAAAAATTTAATTTTCTCTTTTCAAATGACAGAATTTTCAGATTTCTTCAGCAGATGACCAGTTCTGATAAGTAATTTATGACAAGTTGATTAAGGCGAATGACAAGTTATGAAAATCAATTGACAAGAGTGGAAAGCCAAATAACAACTGTGATAAGTGAAATTATAAGTCTGTGAGGAGATTTGCCATAATTCAGAATATTAAATGGATCTACATTGATACCATTAACAACTATAAATACTAAATGTTAACATTGCTCTGCCCATAAACAAAATACTAACATTTTCAGATTGTCATATCATGTTGTTGTGATCAAACTAACCAATCTGTAGTTACAACACTACTAAGTAAAATTACAACAATAGTTAGTCAAATAACAAAAAACCAAAGGTGTTTTGACAGCAACCAGTTTCTGAATCTTGTAGAAACTGGTGTATGACAACTTCTGATAAGCAACTCATAGGAATTTAAGATTCTGGATTACAATGACAATTTGCACAATTCCTTGGCAAATGACAATTTTAGTTTTATTTAGCAGATGACAAGTTTTGATAAACAATTTATGACAAGTTTAGTAAGACGAATGACAAGTTTAGTAAGGCGAATGACAACTTCTGATAAGCAATTTAAAAATTTAATTTTCTCTTTTCAAATGACAAAATTTTCAGATTTCTTTAGCAGATGACCAGTTCTGATAAGTAATTTATGACAAGTTGATTAAGGCGAATGACAAGTTATGAAAATCAATTGACAAGAGTGGAAAGCCAAATAACAACTGTGATAAGTGAAATTATAAGTCTGTGAGGAGATTTGCCATAATTCAGAATATTAAATGGATCTACATTGATACCATTAACAACTATAAATACTAAATGTTAACATTGCTCTGCCCATAAACAAAATACTAACATTTTCAGATTGTCATATCATGTTGCTGTGATCAAACTAACCAATCTGTAGTTACAACACTACTAAGTAACAACAAAAAACCAGAGGTGTTTTGACAGCAACCAGTTAGTAGTCATAACAAAAAAACAATAGTTAGTCAAATAACAAAAAACCAGAGGTGTTTTGACAGCAACCAGTTTCTGCAAGATTCGGTGACAAGTGTATCTCAAACTAACTACAACATCCTCCAACTAACATTTTCCATCATTAACTTCACGTTTCATTCTCTTCCACCGTATAACCCAGTGACCACACCGCAACCCACCAAGATGATGCCGTGCCAATCATGAAGTATATACACATGTAGTGTCTTGGGTAGCTTGAATCTCATCCTCTGCAACATTGATTCTGTATACCATCTCCAGAACACTATTGCTATCAACATCAATCTGATTACCTCTGCCACTTGCATTAACGATGGGTCACCATCTTTTTTGTAATAGAGATTGATGGGAATGGCCACAACCTTAATCATATTGATAAATGCATAGGCGGGAGATGAATATTTTTGAGAGGGAGAGAACAGAAGGAAGAAGAGAGAGAGGGAGATGAAGAGGGAGAGAAGGACGGAGACGAAGAGAAAGAGAAGAGGGAAAGAGAAAGAGATGGGGTGATGGAAGAAAGAGAAGAAGGGTATTTTTGTCTTTTTAGCCTGATTTCATAATTACAATTTGAGACCGCGTCTTTCTTTCTTGGTAATTTAGCTTATTCAGTGACCTCCTTGTGATTTTGCTAATTCAAGGGTCTTTATTTGTCATTTTCCCATATTGTAATGAGAACAAAATATAAGTTAACTTCATTGCTTTGAATCTTGATCGTGACAAATCTTCATCTAAGAAAAATAAGTCTTAATTATGAAATAATAAATCCCAAGTTAGAATTAACAATATTTTTTTTCTTGATTCATAACATGTGAAATAAGATAGTAATTGATTTAGGAAGGACAATTTTTTCCATCATTCACTTGGAAATAACAAGTATTTTATGTAAAATAACCAAAGGTTATTTTTAATTAACCAAAAGTATAAATTAATTTTTAATTTATTTTGGTAAATTTTGGAAATTAAAAATTTCCCCTTGTGGTAAAAGAAAATTAAAAATTATTTTTATCTATAATGAGCTATATTATTTATAATTTATAAAAATATTTTAATTTATAATGAGTTATATAGATATACGAATTAAAAAGTATTTATAATTTATACTTTTTGGTTAATTATACTTTTTGTTTGTTAAAAAAACTCTTTGGTTGTTTAAAAATATTTTTTTGTTAGTTAAAAACACTTTTAAGGAATTATGTCGGTTCTTTATTAACATAACTCATTCATTTATTTTTAAGTAATATGCTTGGTGATATATGTGACAAGAGAATATTAAATAGCAAACCACCTTAATGTGCACTTGTTATTGGATATTACAAAAATAATTGTTGTCATAATCATATTGCTTTTTTTTTTTAGTTCTTGACCATAAGAATGTTGTTATCTTGCATGTGAGTTGTTATTGGTACAATATTCATATGATGATGTAAAAATTAAATGGTGTTATGGCCATTCCGATATTTTGCTAATAGCCATAATAATTTTGTTATTTTTTATTCAATAGTTATTAACAATAATATGTTAATGAAAATGTTAGTGTTATTTTTTTCCAGTTCCAAAAAAACTTGTTGTTAATTTTAATTTTAGTCTTATCATTTTATAACCAGGAGTTGTTGCTACTAGGCCAATTGTAAAAATTAGGAATGAAAATAAGCTAGGCTGGGCTAGGCTTTAGCTAAGTAGGCCTGGACCTGCAATAGATACCTGAAGCCTGAGTCTAGGTATAAGCCTGCATATAGGTTTTTTTTTTTTTTAGGCTTGAGCTTGAGCCTTCAAAGGGCCTAATAAGGCCTGAAACCTGTCTAAAGGCCTACTTAAAATGTAGGCCTTTAAAGAAGTTTAAAAATCTATGCTTCCAAGTTTATATATAACTA